ATTTTTCGAATGTTGGGTCAATACCAAGAAATAGACCATTGCAAGATAAAATCAACTCAAGAACTACAGCAGAATAATTTCTTACTCACAAATGAAATAGTGATTCCATTTGTGATTCTTCAAATCAATTTCCTGCAAGATAAAATCTACTCAAGTTTTAAAATCATACATTAGATTATAAAAGAATTGAGAACATCTATTCAGTTGTATTTGATCCAAGTTATTGTCTTTTAAATGTAAGGATTTCAAATTTAACTGGATGCGTCATAAATCTTAAGAAATCAGGAAAAAAATAAATATTAACATGGCGTTAATATGGGTGGGATTTAGGGCAAAACTTAAGAAACTGCAATGTTTAAAATCATAAAATTACTTTGACTTCAGTCTGAGTAAATCCCACCAGTAAATTTCTATGGTGTTTCTGTCGTGGGAAAAAAAGTATATCCACATTTTAAACTCCCAAGTGCTGCTATGTTGGTCCCTTATGAATACCCTGGGAAACTTCAATATCTCCTTGCTTGGTAATTGAATTTTTTGTTTCATAGAACACGTAAATGGTATCTTCCTGAATCATGTGGTCAAACATTGTTAAGTTATGAGTCAAGTCATTGGGAATATGCAATAAAAAAATGTAACTATTCTACTTCACATGAAACCATTAATATGTAAACAGAAAGAGAAGGTAGTCGTTTTATATTAGAACCAAACAGACTGAGAAATTATAGACAAAGGATTCATAAAGGCCATACATAAACGTCCCTTATTGTTCCCTACTGAAATATAAGTAGGTAGTGCTCAAGTTCAACCCAATGATACACAAGGTTGAAAATCATACTCGCATAGATATGCAAACATATCCCAAGAGAATGCATCTCTGTAAACTGTCAAGTTAAATGGGAAAGTGTAGTGATCTGGTGTACTGTTGTTGGAGTTGTTGTAGTTGCTTGATGTTGAGTAATTTTTCTTTCGGTGGACAACAAATGGTGGTGGATGTGGGGAAGATGTAAGCTTTTCTAATGACGTTTCTCCACGAAATAACTTGTAACAATGGGTGAGAAAAGTGGAAAATTATAGAGTCATAAATTATTCCAAGGAACCAATTGTAAACTTCATTGGGACAGAGAAAATCTAATTTAATTGTCAGCCAAAACAGCTAATACCAGAATTTAAAATATCTTAGCCATTTTGACAAGTTGATCTTGATTGTCATGGCTATAGAAGAAGGGCTCCTTCCGGAAAATCTGCATGTTAAAGAAAATGAAAAATTAAATAACATAATATTAGCAACATGAAAATTTAGAAGAACAATTCTTACCATTCTAGCAAACATACAACCCAGGGTCCGCATGTCTAGAGAATAATCTTCGTCTTGCAAGTCCACAAGCAGTTCAGGCCCCTTAAAGTATCTAAACGAAAATTCAAAAGACAGAAAATCAATAGTAGTAAATTGAAAATAGAAACCTTTTTGACTCTCTACATCGGCAGCAAAGTAAAACGCAAGATAGGCATCTTTGAAAGCATTATGAGCATATAGAACAAAATATTAGTCAATCAAACAGAACTTGAAGCCACTTGGACATTGTATTCTTTGTTCGAATGATAGAATTCAGCAAGGCTGCAATCAATAAGCCGAAGTTTTCGCAGCTCATGATCAATCATAACATACTGAGGTTTGACATCTCTATGTATTTTCCCTAAGAATGGAAATAATCTAATGCCTGCAGTTTTAGAATGTGGTTGATCAATCAAGCATTAGACACCTCAAAGACTTTGGTAACAAAGCCAACAATCAAGAAACACCAAGAAAGTTGGAAATAAAAACTATTTAATTATTAAGATTCTATAATACTTTTGAAAAATCAGCTCAATGTTGATCCCTGCTCCTATTAGTTATTAAGTTCATTCAAGTCTCAAAAAACTCAACTTTCAACCCCTTGACACCACAGCAGAGTACATTGGGTGACACTTTAATGCATATCCTTTTACAATCAAGGGAGGAAAACTCTGGTGAAACTAATGTAGATCATATACTGACCATGGACACGAACATTGCGAACTGGTACCAATAGTTGCTTAAATTGTGCAGAATTATGATATAGCCAAATATGCTATAGCTAATGCAACCACAAAATGACTCTTAGTGTTATAGTTGAGATAAACACCACCTGTCTTGTTAAAATTAGGAACAAGCAATTACCGTAGGTTTTTCCTGTTTCATTTGTTGTGCAGATGTAACATTAGCCTATTTTTAAATGGCTTTTCATATGAGCACAAGCCTTCATAAGATAGAGTAATGCAACAGAACAATGAAAACTTATTCCATTAAATGATTCATGAGCTTTGTTTTAGGGCCAACAAAAATGAATCTTCATATATACTTTGGTGTATGACACTTTCTACAAAATCAAGCGAGCTGTTTCAGAACCTGAAAGAGTTCGAAAAACTAATTTCTTTTGCCTTTTCAATGTTGTAAATTTGCATTTTATCTACTTAATTATGGCTACGCAAAAATGTCTATAGCAAATAAAAAAAAAAAAATCTTCGTGCACGCACAGAGATGGCTAAACTTCAACAAGTCATTCATTTTGTTCATTACCTAAACTTTGTTACAATTCAAGTTAAATGCTCAATTATAACACGTTTTAAGTTTGGTGTTTGACATGACATTTTGCTAAAAGATTAAGGAGGACTAATGTTTTAATCCCATTAGCTAAAGTCAAAATCAATGAGATTATACTTCCTAAAGTTTAAATAAACACTTATAAACTGCAAACATGGAAAAGACACGGCAAGCCTCTAAAGGCAATTCCTA